TTTTTATTGAGAATACAGACTTAGTTTGTGGATTCACAGTCTGGCAGAAAAGATCAAAAGAAGTAGGTGACTTTCAAAGGTGCAGACAGAACCCCTGCTGTGATTCTGGGCAGAGCTTGGAGATTTAACATATGGCTCAAAGGGCTAGTTTAGGTTTCCTGTCTGTGCCTTCAAATTCTAATCTAATAACATCCTCCAGCAAACAGATCTCACAGGATCTTGCATATTCTATGTCCCAGGCCTGATTACCCTGGGAGTCCGCCGTTTCTGGTCTGGGCTGCACTGCCCCTGCTATTTCCGCAGGCCTGAGTCAACAGAGGAGACAAAGGCAGCCAGAAGACTTGGATTTCTCACTTCTAAGAACAATGACTCAGGCTTTGACAAAGCCGAGGGGGCAGGGGTTGATGTCGATCACCCCTTCATTTCCACAGCCCCGAGTCTCTTCCCAGAGGCATCCGTGTGATCATGCCTGTCTTAGATGATTCCCTCTGTGGGAAATCTTACCCGTCATTGGCTAACTGATCAAGCTTAGGAGGTCAGGCACAGAACAGGGAACGTTCATGCCAGGGAAATAAGTTTTGTCTCCTTAGTGGCTCCTGGTCCGGAGGTCTCTCACTCAGCCTTACTTACAGGGGGTTACAGCTTCCTGAGACCAGGCAGGGCGGTCCCCAACAAGGACTGGAGATTTATGCTCCCCCTCCTTAAGGGAGGGGAATTTACATACATTATCTGGAATTCTTCTGCACAGGAGACTTGTTTCTTCTCCCTTAATTATTTGTTTATTTAGTCACTTATTTACATCACTGTGAACTCGGATATTTATTCACTACTCTGGGTTAAAATTCAATATTGTTATTTCTTTTGTTACTCAAGTGTTGTCTTCTGTGTTCCTTTGACATACCCAAATCTTTGTGCTATTTTGTTTTGTTTTTTCCAAACACTTCCTTCCTTTCTGGCACTACGAGATGCCCCAGGCTCACTGTGTACATTTTCAGCGCCAGTCCTAGAATCAGCCATTTCTCCAAGGAGTCCAGTCCTATAACTTTTCATATACTATTTTAAAAACTTTTGCTAATAAAGTTATTGTCATCATCAAATAAGTTGGAGGAAGTATCCCTTCTTTTTAGCTACTGGAAAAGTTGGTTTATTATTGGAATTCTTTGTTATTTCATGTTTCCTGTAACTTTCCTGAAAAGCCATCTGATTTTAATGTGTGTGTGTGTGCACGCATGCGTGTGTTTGGTAGAATAATTTAAACTACTGATTCTGAATTTTAATGGCTTTCTATTCTTTTTAATAGAACCAGTTTATGCAGGTTGCATTCTTCCAGAATTTTTCCCATTTCATCTCATGTTTTTATTTTATTACCGAGATTATTCATAACATCATTTTATCTTTTTAATTACTGTACTGTTTGTAGTTACAGCATTTATATTACTCCTAATAGTGTCTACTTTGCTTTCTCTATTTATGACCAGAAATTTGTCCAAGTTATTAGTACTTACAAGTAATTGTTTTGGGGTGGGGCTTTGTTGGCCTCTTACCTTTCGCTTATATTTATTATCTTTATTATTTACTTCCCAATATTTTGAGGATGTGTATTATCCTGTGCTTTTTTAATTCTTAGGTTGGATGTTGGCTTAATTATTTTTAAATGATTGTTTTTTTCTAATAAGCATACTGAATGCTATAAAAGTTCCTACAACTACTACTTTAGTTATATTCTACAGTTTTGATATGTATGAATTTGGTCATTTAGCTTGAAATATTTTATAATTTTATTATGACTTTTTTCTCTAACTCAAGAGTTATATAAAAAGTGCTTTTAAATTTCCAAATTCATTCATTCTTATTACATGTGGACAAGATTCTAGGAACTGCTCTAGTTACTAGAAATATAACAATAAATAAAGTAGAATAAAAACCGTAGGCTCTAGGAGTTTACATTATAGTGAAGGGAGACAGATGATAAAGTCAGTAACATTTTAGACAGTGTGAAATGATTTAGAAAAAAATGAAGTCAGAACAAGTGATAAAGAATGAGTTGTGGATAGGGTGTTGAAGATTTTAGTAAAATGGCCTACAGGAGATGAAGGAGTCACTGAGTGTTTCATTATCTGCATGAAGGATCCTGGCAGAAGAAACAGCAAGTTAACTAGTTCAGAGGCTGAATCACTCTTAATCTGTTAATGGGACAGCAGAGAAAAATGTACATGGCACATACTAAGTGAGGGAGTGAGGAAGAGATGGGATTAGAGAGACAAAGTTGGTTGGAGGGCTAGGTGGGTGGGCTTTGTGGGCTACTATAATGGTATGGCTTTAGACTTTCACTTGTAGTATGATGTGAAGCCATTGGAGAAATCTGAAGAGAGGTATGACTTACCCAGGTTAGGTTTTCCCAGGATCACTCTGGTTGTGAACTTGAAAACAGACTGAATAGGGACCAAGGGGAAGCAAGGAGAGAAGACAATGTATTGCCATTTACTTTGTGGATTAGGATGTAATCAATTTTCATAATGTTCCTCAAGTTCTTGCAGAAAAAAATTCTTTAATCATTGTATGCAATGTTACATATACATTCTTTAGTTCAAACTGATTCATTGTGGTATTCAAATGTTCTATATTCTTGCTAAGATTTTATCTGTTTGACCCATGAGTCACTATAGATGTGTTAAAATCACCCAATGTGATAGAGATTTTGCAATTTCCCATTAAGTCTTTCAGTTTGTGAAACTTCCCCAATCTGGTGAAGGAAATAGACTTCCAGGAAATCCAGAAAGCTCAGAGAGTCCCAAAGAAGCTGGACCCAAAGAGGAACACAGCAAGGCATATCATCATTAAGTTACCCAAGATTAAAGGTAAAGAGAGAATCTTAAAAGCACCAAGAGGAAAGGAAACAATTACCTACAAAGGAGTGCCCATAAGACTATCAGCTTATTTGTCAAAAGAAACCTTACAGGCAAGAAGGGGTTGGAAAGAAGTATTTGAAGTCATGAAAGGCAAGGACCTACATCCAAGATTACTCTATCCGGAAAAGCTATCATTTAGAATGGAAGGGAAGATAAAGTGCTTCCCACATAAGGTCAAGTTAAAAGAGTTCATCATCACCAAGCCACTATTATATGGTTAAAGGGACTTATCTAAGAAATTGAAAAAGATCAAAAACTATGAACAGTAAAATGACAACAAACTCACAACTACCAACAACTGAACCTAAAAGAAAAGAAGAACAATGAAAACAAACTAAGCAAACAACTGGAACAGGAATACAATCAGTGAAATGGACATCACAGAGAGTGTTTTCAGTGGGGAGAGGGAGGGGAGAAACAGGGGGAAAAGGTACAGGGAATAATAAGCATAACTGGTAGGCATAAAATAGATGGGAAGAGGTCAAGAATGGTATAGGAAACAGACTTCAAAGAACTTATATGTACAACCCATGGACATGATCTAAGGGGAGTGGATGCAGGACGGTTGGGGGGTGCAGGGTGGGGGGTGGATAAAGGGGGGGGGAATTGGGAAAACTTTAATAGCATAATCAATAAAAATATTCTTAAAAACAATAGCATTAGGAAAACACAAATTAAATCCATGAGATATGACTAAACACCTATTAGAATAGCTGAAATTAAAATGACAAATGAACCATGCCATGTGTTAGGGAGTATGTGCTAAAAGTGCAATTCTCATGCACTACTGGGAAGAATTTTAAATAGTATAACTGTTTTGAAAAAGTTTGGTAGTTTCTTAAAATGTTAAACACCTACCAACTTTAGGTGGTCAACACACAATACAATATACAGATGTATTACAGAATTGTACACTTGAAACCTACATAATTTTATTAACCAATGCCACCCCAATAAATTCAATAAAAATGTAAACAAAAATTACTTCCAAAAATCCATGGTGAACAAAATATTGATTTCAAATAAAGATAGATCAGTAGTATTACTGGTCTATCCTTTGCCTTCAGGCTTTACTATGGTTCAGCATGCCACTGTTTTTCTGATTATTTTTGCAAATATTACTTGAAAACATAATCGATCTTTTTTATTGCTGTTCAGTTACAGTTGTCCTGCTTTTTCCCCCATTGGTCTCCCCTGCCCCATCCCCTCTGCACTCCCATAGTCAGTCCTCCCCACTGCATTGTCTGTGGCCACCAGTCTTCTAATCATGTTCCTTGGCTTGCCCCTTCCCCTTCTTTCCCCATTATCCACCTGCCCCCCTTCTGGTCCCTGTCAGTTTGTTCTTTATTTCTATGTCTCTGGTTCTATTTTGTTCATTTGTAAAACATAATAGACCTTGACTGCTGAGTTTTTTTGGTGCCTCCTTAAATCTCCATATATGGGCAAATATTAAAACTTGATGGCTGTGAGCCCTGGCTGGTGTAGCTCAGTGGATGGAGTGCAGGCCTCTGAACCAAAGGGTCACTGGTTCCATTCCCATTCAGGGCATATGCCTAGGTTGAGGGCCAGGTCCCTAGTGGGGGATGCATGAGAGGCAACCACACACTGATGTTTCTCTTTCTCTTTCTCCCTTCCCTTCTCTCTAAAAATGAGCAAATAAAATCTTTAAAAAAAAACTTGATGGCTATATGTATGGAAGAAAACATGTATCAGATGCTCCCACCATTCAATTCCTAGCTAAAATTCACCCAAGAGAAATGAAAGTATGTGTACAAAGACATGAATATGTGAAATATTTGTGGCAGCTTGATTTGCAAGAGCCTAAAACTAGAAACAACACAAAACTTATAAAAAGGTGAGTGGATAAACATAGTGTGGGATGTCCATACACTGGAACCGTTCTCTACCGCGACAAATAATGTATCTTCCTGGCCCATCCTGGGAGTATTCGGGATGCGGGATGCGCTGAGAGCCTACGTTGCCCAGCTACCAGAAAGATTCCAGCAGCACCTAGTAACGGTCACCTAGCAACCGGAGCAGTTGGGACAACAAAGTGCTGAAGCTGCCAGTCACCTTGAGGCCAGCGGCACCATGGCAGACAAGAAGAGGCTGTTTCAGCCACAACTCAAGGGGAAGTGGCTGCACGGGACGGAGCCTCTGGAGCCCGTACCTGAGGGCCCACATTATAAGCGCTGGTACAAGACAAGAGACAAGTTACCTCCCAACTCTTTGGGAAAGCACAGGAACAGGCTTATGAAGTACCCCATGGACACCCCGCGGTGGGTATCTGTGAGAGAGGGGCTGGACAATTTCAGAATGGGCTGCCCACCTGCTGATAATCTGATCATTCGTGGCCCTAGGGAGGGCTTTCTCTCCACGACTGCTCATAGAGTTCCCCAGCCTCCCCCTAGAAAGACTCAGAACAAGCTGCCCAAAGGAGCAGAACTGCTTTCCAAGCTACCACCAGCCCAGCAAGCACAGAAGGCTTTTGTAGAGGAAACCAAAGCCAGTCTGACCCCTCATCCCTTGGCTCGATACCCGGATTTGAAGGAAATTATACCTCCAGACCTCTTATTAATGGTGCTGGAAGAGCTTGATCCTAACAGGATGCTGGAAGACACCTGGGCTTATTGTGAGGTCATGAAGGACAGAAAGAAGTCCCGTGCAAAGCTTAGTGAAAAACGCCTTAAGGAAGTCCACCCCGGACCTCCCAAACCAAGACAACCTGGGACCTCCCAGCCAAGTCGACCGCGGACCCCCCGGCCAAATCGACCACGGACCCCCCGGCCAAGTCGACCCGGGACCCCCCAGCCAAGTCGACCCGGGACCCCTCAGCCAAGTCGACCCGGGACCCCCCGGCCAAGTCAAACTGGGACGCCCCGGCCAAGTCGAGCTGGGACCCCCCGGCCAAGTCAAGCCGGGACCTCCCAGCCAAGTCGACCCGGGACCCCCCGGCCAAGTCAAACCGGGACGCCCCGGCCAAGTCGAGCCGGGACCCCCCGGCCAAGTCAACCGGGACCTCCTGGCCAAGTCAACCAAGACCTCCCGGCCAAGTCATCCTTGGATCTCCTGATCAAATCATTGCAGCACCGCATGGACAGGCCACTCAGGACCTCCTGGGCAAGTCAACTGGGGCCTCCCATGCAAATCAACCAGGACTTCCCGTCCAAGTCAACCAGGACCTCCTGGGCAAGTCAATCAGGACCTCCTGGCCAAGTCAATGGAGGACCTCCAGACCAAGTCAACCAGGGACCTCCTAGTCAAGTCATCCTGGAACCACATGGACAGGTCAACCAAGATCTCCCCCCTGAGTCAACCGAGACCTCCCAAGCAAGTCAACCGGGACCTCCTGACCAAGTCAATGGAGAACCTCCAGACCAAGTTAACCAGGGACTTCGCAAGGAGTCTTTGGTGTCATGTGTAAAGAAGTTGTTTCCTGAGGAAAAGAAAAAAAAGAAGTCAAGCAGAAAGGGTATTCTCAAACCTCCTGATCCATACAGAAATGTACGGAGAGAAGTTCATGAATTCTGCAGATGGCTTGATACTTTTGGAGACATGGGCATTGATGAAAGTTTCATCATGAAACAGTTTAAAGTTGAGTACACGTGCACACCTACCCACAATGCAGGCAAAATAAAGAAAGTAACCCAGATCCCTGTGGAACTATACTACAGCAAAGAGCTAGATGATGATAAAAGGAGAGAATTTGCCCTACAGGAAAGTGACTGGGAGAGGAAACTCAGAAAACCACCTGATCCTTATAAACCCAAGCAGGTGAAGATAAGGTATGGAGCATGGTATCTGAAACCCAAGACCTGGAAAAAGCTAATAAATGATGAACCTTGGATTGACCCTAGAGTCTTAAAAGAACAGGAATATCAGCATCATGGAAGGGATCTTGAACCAGACATTCTTGATGATCTTTATGGACCCATCGCCTTCAAAGATTTCATTTTAAGCAAGGGCTACAGGATGCCAGGTATCATTGAGAAGTTGTTTTTGAGGAAGAAATGGACTTATGATTCTGTTAAGACTCCTATAGACCGAGTCATGAAACTCATCTCAAAAGTACCTGATGATACACCTGATGATACATCTGATGATATATCTGATGAGAATTAGACAATTTCTTATTTACTATTTACTTGGCTATTTTCTCTGTCTCATGTTAACAGCCATCAGAATTCATGACGAATGTCTCATGGTGTATGTACAACTTTGATTCTACAACATCTGTAAATTTAACACCTAATGCTAATAAAAATTATAAATGAATTTCTGTTTGGGCTCATCAATATTTAATGTATTTTACCAACTATGAAATCAATACTCACATAGAGTCTCACATTTTTATAACATTGTGAATATTATACTCTTATATCAATTTTTTTAAAAAAAATAAGGCCACAACTAAAAGACTTACTGACTAAAAGATCTTGTTATGTCAGCTACAACACAGGATGAATCTCAAAATAATTGTGTGGAATAAAAGAAATTTAGTCTCATTCAATAATGAAATTGTTATTCCCTTTATTGCAATTGCATCAAGACCCAAAACCAGATTGGAAACTATTTATCAAAATTATAGCAGAAATGTTTGTTCTTTCTTTTTAAAAATTTTTTATTGTTCAATTACAGTTGTTCCAATTTTCCCCATTACTCTCCCCTGCCCTACCCGCAACCCACCTTCCACTTTCAATCTCCCCCACCATTGCCTTTGTCCATGTGTCCCTTATACACCTTTATACATATTCCTTGACTTGACCCTTCCCCTACTTTCCTCAGATATCCTCCTCCCACTATCCTCTAATCAGTCAGTTTGTTCTTTATTTCAACGTCTCTGGTTCTATTTTGCTCATGTTTGCTTTGTTGATTAGGTCCCACATATAGGTGGGATCATATGATATTTCTCTCTCACCACCTGGCTTACTTAACTGAGCAATCATAGAGCTTTTCATACCCTTTTTTTCTTCTGGTTTCTAAAATTTCAATAACAAAACAAATTGAGTTTATAAATTAATTGACCTTGGTATTGCATAAAACATCAGGGTCAATAATGCCCATCCCTCCCTCCTCTCTCCCTTTTTAGTCAACTTTATCCTAAAATATCATGTTAATTTTAATCTTTTTAAAAACTTTGACTCCTCAGTTAACTTATACAGAAAATTAAAAGTACTTTGTTCAGACTGCTTTTTAGTTTTGAAGACATTTCTTGGTCTTCCACTTTTCCCAGTCTATGAAGATCTGTCCAAATTTCATGTTTAAATTAGCATATACCTTTTCTCTTTTTATTATTATATTCACCAGTCAGTAATGCTTTTGTTTTAGCCATTGTTGCTTTTTTTCTACCAATCTCTGCTGCGAGTTCATTTGCAGTTTCATACTGTAATTTGCAAGTACAGGTTTCCAAGCTGTGAATGTACGGTATCTATCTGTGCAGAGAGGAGTGATTTGTTCCTTGTATGTCATGGTGCCTTTTTATGTGCTGTGGAAATGATCAGTTAAATGATTCCTTCATTGACGTGGGCTGTTTTAACTAAAGAGAAGTGTGCAATAAAGATATGTGGCAAATTAAGCATAAATGTCTGAAACAGTTAACAAGTACATCTTGCTGTCTCAATTGCTGTACTGCATTATGTCAATACTTAGCATCATGAAATATTACAAAAGAAGCTGTGCTCCTCTCAGAAAGGACTTTGCAACAAAATGAGTTGTAAGAAAAATCGCATTTATGTATACTTATGTGTAAAAAAGTAAAAAAAATAATAATTGAAGAGTAATTGAAGAGTAATTGAAAAATAATAATTGAAGAGTACTAGATAATTGAAGAGTAACTATCTAAGAGAATATGAAGAAAGCTCACTCTTTCTTAAGCTGGTTAAGGAGTGTAGCAGAAGCTTGCTACATTTCAACCCAGTGACTATGTGTAGATCCATAAAAAGAATGACATATTAGGAAGAGGAAAAAAGAGCAGAATATCCCTTCAATAAGCACTGACAAAGTCAAGATGAGGAAGAATAATACAAGTCAGCCTATTGCTATTAATCTTTGTGTTCAGGAAAAAGAATATAACATGGATTATTAATGGGAATAAGAGCCAGAGGACATTTTTCAAACCATGAATCCCTTTGGGAATCTACTGAAGACTGTGACTTTCCTTTGTATACACTCATAAAATTTTGCTCACAATTTTAAGAATTCACCCTGTAGTAATATTCAAAGTCCATGGATCTCAGGATAACGATAACAATGTTTACTTATTTTGGGCCAGTGGATTTTTATGCTCTTTAAAGCTAATGGCTCATTTACTCCTAACAACAATGCTATGAGATATCTATTATTTTTATAGCTCTTTTACAGATGAGGAAACTAAAGGGAGAAGTTATGTAACTAACTCAAGGAAACCCAACTGGGAAGTAGCCGGGCTGCCCTTCAAGTCCAGGTCATATGGCTCCAGAGCTATGTGCCTTCTGAGAAAAACAGCAGTTTAAAGAATCAGATGATAGGATTTTAGGTCTGGAGAAACACATAGAGATTATCTATTTCAAACTCTTATTTGTTTTAAAGTTGAGGAAATTGAGTTCCACATAATTAAATGAACTTTACTAAAGTCCACAGAGCTAGTAGTGCTGGGGTTCAAGTGGGAACATGCACTCAAGGCTCGCACCGGTGCTGCATCGGCACTATTGTTATTATTTAAGGCAAGAAAACTGAGGTGCATTCCTGATGAGTAGCAGTGTCACCACTCACATTGAGATAGTCTGATTCACAGCTAAAACTGCTAGATTATTGTAACTCAGAAGTGCCATTCCTTTACAAATGTTTAGTAGAAACAGCATAATAAAAGTAACCTTAAAATTGGGGAATGCTAATGTTCTCAATTTAGAAACTTTGGAACATTTGGAGGTTCTACTTTATAATCACTTAATGTTCTATAATCAGAAAGCAGTATTTGCAGCATGCTACCATTTGTGAAAATCTAAATATGAACATACAAAATCACACACACATAGATATAAAACTATTCAAAGTTCATGCATTGGTCCTAGGGGAAAGCTGTTTACTAATTTCATTTCTTTCGTAACGACTAGAATTCAGTATTTGTAAACATAAGATGAAGAAAACTCTAGTTAAGAAAAGTGCTTTTTTGACACAGCAAATTCCTTTAAAACCTCAAATTTGTGTACTGTTTGCTAAATATGTTGTCATTTGTGAGAATCCAGCTTTTCAATCTTTTGTAATTCTAAGTTATACTTCCCATTACAAGTTCAACACAGTTGTACTCTAGTGCAAACAAAGACGTCAGTTTGGGAACTTTTCACAATTACTTAATTTACATGCTAACTTAAATTCACGTTGGTTTAAGTTATTAGTCACAATGGAGGTCAAACTTCTTCATTGCCTTTGTGTACCTAAGAAAGTATTTTTAGTGTAGTCCTGTCACAGATCTTAGAAAAGAAATAAACACATTTTTCATCCAATGGCATAATAAACTCGAAAAAAAGAGAAATCTTTCATTAGGAATCTTGGAAGACGCTGTTGGTAACCACTTATCATCAGCATTAGCAAACTCGAGCTGAATAAAAATTGTGGGACTCTCTGCTCTGCTCTGCCACTTGGATCATCTATTAGCATTGACACTTGATTAACTCTCCAAACTGTCTGCTCCTTTGATTAGCTCCCGGGACTTCTTTCGGATTATTAGTAATAATTTTCTGAAATCTGTCCTAAAAGACAGATTCTAATGTTCCTTTTTTGCTGACTGCAAAATTTCCCCTGTTTATGCTGGAAGATGTTTGCCTTTATTCTATTTATACTCTTTGGCCTGATCTTGAGCAAACACTGGCTTAAAACTTCCTTATTGGGTGAAGAGGGAATGAATGATCACTCTCAAACTTTATTTCTGTTTGAAATGCTTTCTGTATTTAGCACAAGGTATAAATGAGCAGTCTCAGTACTGACTATTGCTATTACAATAATTTACTGATTTCTTTAGAACATACTCTCCCCTGAAAGCACCTTGTAGATTGATTTCAGTCTAGCCTAATAACTTGGTTGTCTAAGAGAAAAAATATGCTTGCTTTAATGTTTAAATTGTGAATGGCATGGCAAGGAGAAATACCAATATAGAGAAATAATATATTCTAAATGGAAGACTTTCAGAGAATTTTTAATACCTCAGCTTAAAGCTATATATCAATGATATTAAATTTAAGTTTAAACAATTGAATTTTAAATGAAGATACTACATAAAGTCAACTTTCATTGTATTTTATTCTATAGGACACATTTATTATTTACCTGCTATATTAACTTTATTCTAGGCTGATGCTCTGTAAAAAAAAATCTAAATCTCCATGACATACAACAACATTTATTTCTTATTCCTGTGTCTGCTTCAATCTTTGTATTCTGCTTCAATCTGTGTGTTGTAAAGGAGACATGTGTTTCCTTTTGGGGGAACCTTGTCTACTTGAGGCATGATCTTCCACTGGCAAAGGGAAGAAGAACCAAGAGGGGTGAAAACACATCACAATTTTTAAGTCCCTAGCTCAGAAGTGAGACAGTCATGACTACTTGTATTTCATTGATCAAGGCAAGTCACACAATGAAGCCCACATCAATGAGGTGGGAAGTAAAATCCACTTAGGGTGATCCAGGGCAAACGGGGAGAGAGATGAATGAATCATGAACAAATAATGCAGTTTACCAACCTGCCCAGAATTTTTAATGCAATTCAATATATATTGACTCTTTTTATTTTGTCTAAGTCATTGCTTAAGACCACATCTGATGCTTTACAGGATGCCTCACCAAAACAAAACTAGGAGTTCATTCTTGTGATTATTTTCATTTTACATGACTAGAAAACTGAGGCTTGGTGTTACTTAAGAGACACCTAAGGTTAACTAATACAAGATCAAGTCAAGTAACTTGGCCTAGTACCTATATAAGTTAGTTTGAATTACTCATAAAGCTGACTCAAACAAGCACTGGTGCAGGTAGTTCTTTTGGGAAGTGACTCCCAGAGGCATGGGGTGGGGGACAGGGGAAATGAGTAGGGAAGGGAGAACAAGCAATAGAGGTGCTGTTGTGGGTCATTCTGAGATCCATATCTCTTG